AGGGGAAATGTATGTGCGTCTTATGGAGCGAATGCAGAGGCTGCGCAGCTATCCCAGAAGCCAGAACAGCAAGAGGGATTGGCTTCTGAGATTCAGAATATTTTTTTTCGTGTTTTCCTCCTCCAAAAACTAGGTGCGTCTTGTGGTCTGGTGCATTTTATAGAGCGAAAAATACGGTAAATGGCCTGGAGTTATACATAGCAATTGGCATGCCTTCCCTACAAGTGGATATAACTTAAAATAGGGTCGCGCTGGTTGATGATCTCCGGCGGGCTAGGGACAAAGGTGAGAGCTGTTTCCTAGTTCTGCTGGATCTCTCAGCGGCCTTTGACACCATCGACCATAACATCCTTCTGGACCGTCTAGAGGTGCTGGGAGCTGGGGGCACTGTCATACAGTGGTTCCGCCCCTTCCTCCTGGGCCGTGTCCAGAAAGTGGTGGTGGGGGATGAGTGTTCAGACCCATGGGCTCTCACTTGTGGGGTGCGTCAGGGTTCTGTCCTCTCCCCCATGCTTTTTAATATCTATATTAAAAAAGCCCTCCCATCAGATGTCAAAGAGATAAATAATTACCTGACATTCAGAAGACATCTTAAGGCAGCCCTGTTCAGGGAAGTTTTTAATATGTAACGCTGTACTGTTTTTAACACTGATTGGGAGCCGCCCAGAGTGGCTGGGGAAACTCAGCCAGATGGGCGGGGTATAAATAATAAATTATTATTATTATTATTATTATTATTATTATTATTATTATTATTATCATTATCATTATTATTATAAAATAACAGGTGACTTGCTGGTCACTTAAAAGCTTCCCCACTAGTTTGGGAAACCCATAAGCCTTGGATAGGTGATTTCAAGATTATGACAGTAGTACGGGATCTGAAGCCTGACCTATGTGAGAAAGTAAAAGGAGACACATTGACACTGGGGGGTTGTCCTAATCCACCAGCCCAAAGGAAGGCTTGTGGGAGTGGTTTGGTACAGGGATACCACAGAAGGATGTCAAAAATTCTAGAGTGATCAATTCTAGTGCCTTATTATGAGAACAAGACTTACAGCACAGTCTACAGAGCCCCACTGCCTTTTCAGATGCAGGGCAAACATGGCAACAGTGATAGGTCGTCATGAAGCAAACATTTATACATTCTTTATACACAAAGCAGCATAAGTCAGTTTGGCCAGAACCTGCCATCAATTCACCTGGTAAGACTGCAGGTGGCAACCACCCAAAGCTTAAAGATAGCTCCTCTCTCTGGGCCAAGAGCCCAGCATCCTGCAGAACAGAACAGCATCAAAACAAGCCACTTAGCATATATCAAAGCAAGTGAATATAAACATATATGAGGTCATTCTTGCAACAACAATCAATTAGTTTTGGGGTCATCTTGACTACCAAGCATAGGAACCAACTCCTGGTGGCCAAGGGGTCTTCAGCCCCCCCCCCTGTAAAATATTTGAGGCGGCGCCCCCCCTTCCTAAGTTGATGGGCATTGCCATTTAAATAGTGTGTGTGACCACATCATGTGATTGATTATGTGGGGTGGGGCTTACCTGGGCCCCTCCAATGTTTTATTCAAGTTGGGCACCCCTGCTACCAAGATGGTGTTTGCAGGCCTTCCATATGCCACTCACTTCACCTCCACAGGCAGGAGCACCCAGTGATGGCTGACAATTAGGCAGGTTCATATGAATGTATTTCCAGCTTATGGGAACAGCCTAAGGCTGCACTAAAATGCACACTCAAGCTTTTATCAATTATTAACTGATTGGCAACTTATTTCTAAGTATGCTCAGATGTTATTTTAGCAGCTGGGGCTTGAAAACAAATACCATAACTGAATATTGAGAACTGAATAATTCAGGGGTGAACAGTTAGTGGAAGCACATTTAACTTGTCCCTGCTGGTCATTAAACTGTAAATAGTGTTCAGCACCATTTATCTTTGTTGTCTGGACATGCAGCTCTGCTGCCTCCATGACTAAGCCTCTGGTGATTCTCTTACCTGCCTGGAAAACTGTTGGGCCCATTCCCGGGCAGTAGCCCAAAGCGGCCAAAGCTATGACTAGCGCATTACTGTGCATGCCAAGGGGCAGCTGGAATGGTATGAAGAGATGCCAGCCATGTGAGTGTAAATCCACAGCCCAGTGCACAGCTGCAGGAAGTAAAGGCTGCTTGGGCACAGCTGAGATTCTTTTCATAATGCTAAAGCTCTGTGTGATTCCATTGAAGATGTTCAAGTTTAGAAAAGCAATAAGAAGTTGCCACCTTAAACAAATTGTTTGGAAACCCTTACACAGAAGTTTGGAAACCCTGAGAAGCTGTAGTGATATTCCAAACTGATCTGCAGTTTTGAATGTCTACACTGCACAGTTTGGTCTGTTGTAAGCAACTTGCAATGGCTTGGCAGGCTATGTTGGAAGAAACCATGTTCTGCTCACACCTAACATGCCAAGAGCCAATTCTGAAGCACTGAAGCATGAGTCTCCATTCAGAGTTCTCAAAAATGTGCAGGAACAAAGGATGTCAGGACAAATGTCTTGGGCTTAACCTCCAGGATGGACTTCCCTGAATTATTGGCTTTCTTCCTTTGTCATTTGAGATACTGGGCTGTCATCTGAAGGGCATTATCTGAGGTGTGGGGTGGAATCAGAGGGCTACAGAGGAGAACAGTTGAATTATTTGCTATACTGACTCACCATTTTCCCCAATGTGCTTCATTTTATTGTTTTCTTTATATTCTGACTCTAAAAATGATTAACAGGCCTTCAGAAGAAAAAAAAAATCTCTCAGCAGTCTCCAGAGTAAGATTTCCAACCTTCTCTTACGAATCACCTGCCAGACAGAAATTCAGCAAGGGAACATTTCCCTACCTATGCACTGCTAGACAAAAACTGGTATCTTGAATTTCCACCCGTCTCACACCTCTCAAAAGCACAAACTCTTCCAGAAAAGAAAAGTGGCAAAGATGGACTGCTGATTATAGAATTCATCCTGTTAGCACTTTGCTGTTTGGGCAGCAGTCTGTAAATGAGATAGTCTAATTGTGATGTGAGCCTTTTGACATAAGCTTGGCTGATTCCAGTAGTATTCCTTTAGGAATTTTAAAATAACCCCCTAGATCTATTACCGCCTTTTTGTAAAAGGCAATTGCAGAATCCACTTAAAGCTTTCCCATCCATCAACCCCTGCTAATACATTGTATCGAAACTGAACACTATTGGCATCCTTGATGGGTTTCTTTGGGCTGATGCCAACGACTACAGAAGTAATGGAACAGTCTGTCAACTGTTCAAGGTGATTCAGGGCAAGACAGATCACTGAGGACAGGTTAGGTGTGCAGCATGACAACTTACTCTCCCTGCAAGACTCTTCCTAAATGAGAATTCTCGACATCATTTCATGATTCATGATAAGTGCCCAGAGCAACATCATTCCGGCATAAATCTAACAGCTCATTCCCAGCTTTTCCAGTTGCATGAAAGAGCAAGGATGTGTGTGCTGGCAACTGCAATGCAGTCTGAAATCCTTATCTCTGCCCCTCTGCCAGCAACAAAAGGGCATTTGCCTGACAAGATTTACTGAGATTAACTCTATTAGCAATAAGCAGCTCCAGCCACTGGCCTTAATCCAAAGAGGCATATGCAGGCCAAGTTGTATGACCCACAGCGTAGCATTTATTGTTTCTATTGACATGTCCTCCAGGGCACAGCTGGGCTGAAAGTTTTTTCCATTGGTCTGGCAGCAGCCTGGAGAATCAGGTGGCCATCTGAATTTTTAAAATAAACCGCATCTTGTTATTCCAACTAGCCAATGAGCAGTTAATACGGCCAGAGATTTTTATTCTTTAGCTTGTTAAAATGCTACTATGTTGTGCATTCCTTTAAATAAGGGCTAAGGTCAACACCTGTACCACACATTTAAAACTCATGCCCTCCCCCAAAGAATTCTGGGAGCTGTTGTTTCCTGGGGGCACTGGAAACTGTAGCTCTGTCAGATGTAAACTACAGTTCCCAAGATTCTTTGGAGGAAACAATGCACTTTAAACATATGGTGTGGATGTGAGCAAAATCATATCAGCTGATGATGATTTCTATACTGCATTGTATTTTTAAGAAACCAATCTCATAGTGGTTTACAACACATCAAAACATCAAATAAAACAACCCAGAATAAAACATTACTGAAGAAAGTCAAGTATAAAGTATACTTTCAAAGCAATTTAATCAATGGGAAACTAAAATATAATATTAAATATTTCAAAATAAAACATTACAAAGGAGGCCCACTGCACATTTAATGCAGCATGCAAAAAAATCTTAAACATTTTAAAAGTCATTACTAAAGGGAGTCAAGTAAAAAATGCAAATTTAAAAAAGCGTAATTAGCAAGAGATGTTATTGTAAGCATAGCACATATCTGCTGCTGCTGCTAATCCTTCCAATGGTAGTTCATGGTGGACAGCAGCTGTGGAAGCACAGCCTCTATGACCTGGATCTGCACTAAGAGTCAGCCAAGTTGTCTCGGGCCTCTTCAGCAGCCGTAGCTTCTGTAGCTGGAGTCAGTCAGGGGCCTGCCTTCCCAGGCTAGGTGGGAAAAAGCCAGCAAGGCAGGGAGCAGGTTTTCCAGGTCTCACAGCCAAGATGCTACGTGTCAGACTGCTATAGTAAAACCCACAAAGTTAAGGGGTCACAGAACAAACAAGGGATGCCTTTAACTTTATGGCTAAATGAATACTATGAAGGAAAGTAATATTAGAAACTGCTTTAAGATTTCATTATAATCAAGCAGTATATAACCTCTATGAAATAAATAAATAATGTGAAATATTGCCATGCACAGGCCAACCCTAGAACAGGTCCCAGGTTTTGAAACGAAACATCTGCTTCCAGGTATGTGTTGGAACAGATGCTATTTATTGGGTAGGGCGATGGATGCCTCAAAATTTGTCCATGGTCAGAACTGCAGTTGATTGGGCAGATTTCCACAACACCATTTTCCCCCCAAGCATGGCTTCCAGATTCAGAATGACCCCAAAATATGAACCATTAACTGAAAGCAAAACAAGTTATGCTAGAAAAATGATAGTGAGTTCAACAATGAATCTGTTTGAATTCTTACTTGTTCCCTTCGCTTTGTTGAAGTGATGAGGAATCAGCCTTCCGTTCAGCAACTTTTAGAAAATGAAATCCTAACCCTGCTGCTGATTTATTCAGGGCCGTTTGTCAGGCATTGACTGTTGCCCTCTCCAACTCATTTGTAATAGAGCTTGCCCTGCCCCCACCATTTTTGCTTCCTGTTCATACTCCGCTAGCTCCTTCCATCTCCATTCCAGGCAGTGATGCTGTCAGGACAGGACTATGGGACAGAAGTCCAGGGGTCCCCAATGCAGCTTGGCTGGCTTACTATATTAGGGCATGTTGAATTTTTCAACTTTCAGATTCCAAACATGAGGGGCGCTGAGATGTTGTAACCTGACTTGGGAATTCCAAAGATATTTTGTTTAAATTGACATAATTTAGTTTTGCTTGGTAAGTAAAATATGTTTAAAATTGCACAGAAATAATTAAAACTGGTTGCAAAGTACCTGCAGTTATATTACATATTAATATTTATTTTATATTACCTGACATTTTCAGGAGCTAAAATTAAAATTATTTGGTTTTCCGAAAGCAGTTTATGTGCCTCTTCATTGGGCGTAGACTTACCACGATAAATGTTGTCCAGTCATAAAAGTAATAGCAGATTTGAGTTCTTCACACTCAAAAAAGTATTTTTAAGACTGCTCACTGAAGAAATTTGCAAAAAAATAAGTTTTACTCCCTAGAGTGACATGCCCTATTACTATATATTGAAGTAAGTGAAATAATGCACAGCATAATCTAAAGAGGGGCCCCTTTTAGATCATTAACTCTAAGTGAATATTAAGTGTACTTAAGTACAGTAATGCACATTACCATCTTAGTAGCACCCCCACCCTGCAAGGCCATTAAGTCCGGATTCTAAAATTATCTAACTGCACCTCTGGCCCCAAGCTTCAGGGTAAAAGGGTTTGAGCAGAGAGCCTATCGTCCCTTTCCCCCTTCAGCTGATGCAGGCTATGCTTGGCTCCAACCTTTCTGCCTCAGCAACTTCTCTAAAAAGCCTAATCCAAATGCCGACTTAGCAGGGCTCTCAGGTTTACTGTACATCAACACCCCTGTGTTCTGCCACCTAGGGAGCCAATTTCTGCAGTTTCACGGAACAGAAAAACATCACACACATTATGCAACTGTAATCAAAGCCAAAAACAGCATAATATTTGAGTATTTCGATCTGACAAACTCCATTCAGCATCAGCAAAGGCAGTCGTCGTCTGAGACCATGGCTGGGGTTAGGGTCAGTCTGCCTCCAGCAGCGATGCTAGTAAAAAAAAAGTTGTGTGCAAGGTCAGGAACATTTTTGCCAAGGCACAAACCCAGATAAGAAGACTCTGGAGGAACATCCTCTGCTCAGGAAGAACAGGCCAAGTTGCAGGAATAGGTACTGCTTTGGATTTGGTCATGTCCATCCAGTAGTGTAGCCAGCCTGCTTCTCTTCCATATACATCCATTAAAGAGGAGAGAGGGTTGAGATCCCCCAAACCCAGAGTAGTTCTGTCTGAAAGAGCCAAGAGGGTCAAAATAGCTTTTGAACTCTTTTCTTTTCTTTTCTTTTCTTATTACTGTTAGCAACTTTTTTGGCCTAGGCAGGAGCAAAAAAACCTCACTCAGGTTCCGTTTAAGTTCTGATTATATTGGTGACTGCAGAGCATCAGGAGATGTACTCCCCGTTTTTTTTAAAAAAAAAGTCTCTGTGGCATAGTGTCCCAAAGGCCAGTGAACTTGCAAATAATTTGATTTGTACCAGGGTAATTTTGTGCCCCACTTCACTACTCCAAAATGTGAGTGTAGTTTGGCATATACCGTATTTTTCGCTCCATAAGACACACTTTTCCCCTCTTAAAAAGTAAGGGGAAATGTGTGTGCGTCTTATGGAGCGAATGCAGGGGGGGGCAGGCAGGAAAAGCCCCCCAAGAGCCGCACACAAGCTCCGCGCGGCTCTTGGGGGCTTTTCCCCAAGAGGGAGAAGGGACTGACGCAGCCAGTCAGTCCCTTCTCCCTCCTCGTAGAAAAGCCCGCAGGAGCAGCGCGCTCCTTAAAGGGTGCGCAGCTCCTGTGGGCTTTTGCGGGAGGTGGGGGTATTGCCATGGCCACGCGCAGCCTCTCCCGGCCGGAGAGGTTGTGCGCGGCTAAAGAGAGGAGGAAGCCAATACAGCGAGCGGGATCCAAAAATAAGATTTTTTTTGTTAATTTCCCCCTCTAAAAACTAGGTGTGCCTTATGGTCCAGTGCGCCTTATGGAGCGAAAAATACGGTAGTTGGAGAACTAGTGTAGCAGTAGGGGCTAAAAGAATGAGCTATGAATTAGGAATATTGGTATTGCCAGAAACTCACTAGGGCTGCATTCAGGCAGCAGTTCATTCCGTCTCTCTAACTTTTAATTTCCGTATTATATGTGATCTTTCATTTGATGTAAAAGCCACTTTTAGAAATCTAAAAGAATCTAGTGGCAGTTAAGCACTCATTTCCGTGTTTAACAGTTCCAAAAGTAATCCAATTGTAACAACATGGCTGTTACGTTGTGTGAAAGCTCAAATATAATGCAGAAATTTACAATTAGGGAAATGTCAGGGAAATGGAAGAAATTGTCATGTGAATGCAGCCTACAGCAGTGTCTGCCAATGTGGTACTGGCACACACCAATATGCCTACCAGTACCTCCTAAGATACCCATGCAAAGTCTGAGTAGGTATTCCCTCAAAAACCCACAATGCGTTAGAGACTGCTTGCTCTTCTTGCTCACTTCATGTTTGCACTAGCTCAGCCACTCCTACAATGAACACCCCCAACATGCCATAGCTGTCAACTTTTCCCTTTTCTTGCGAGGAATCCTATTCGAAATAAGGGAATTTCCCTTAAAAAAAGGGAAACGTTGACAGCTGTGCAACATGCCCATATTTCACTGAATGCCAGGATTAAGCACCCTCCCTGATGTTGTGAACAGAGGAGAAGTGCAAAGAGCTTCTCTCAGTGATTGAGTACAGAGACTGCTTATGCCAGCCTTTCTCCCAAATCAATCATTGTGGGGTGGGGAGATATACCTACACCATTTTGTGGTTCTGTCTGATTTTGTGCTCCTTTAGATGTGGCAGCCATTTTGTGTTATGCTATGCCCCCCACAGCAGTCATTTTGTGACTGACAGCAAGAACACTCAAAATTCCAAATCATAATTCTATGTGACTCAAAATAACTGGTGACCCCTGTTCCCTTTCAGATTCAGTCCTCCCCTCCCCTATCTGCAACATGGGGGATAATAATACCAATAAACCATACAGCGGTGCTGGAAGAATTACACGTAGTTAGTGTGTGTGAAGTGCTTTAAACACTTGAAAGAACTGCACAATAATAATAAGTAATATCAATTTATCTCCGATAACTTTTAGGTTCCTAAAGTCTACTAAGGAAAGTGAAGAATATACGTGTCTGCATATCTGCATTGCCAGCATAATGTCCCTACAAAGCCAGCATAGTATAGTGCTTTATGGTGCTGCATTAACAATGCAGCCCGTATATATACTATTTCATCCCTTTTGTGGTACAGTACTTAAAAAAACTAGGTCAGAAGAACTAATGCTGCAAGTGCCCTGGCAAAACAGCTCACAGAATCAAATATTAAGATCAATTTCTGACTCAAGGACAAGGCAAAAGCATGTAACCTGGTGATTTTACTGGAACAGCTAACAGCATTGCTATGCCAACAGCTGCCCTCACCCCTGTGGGGTTCTAGCCACCTGTAAGGTCATTAGCATTACATTTGCAGGGGCAAAAAGAGACAGGCTATATCCAACCCTATATGGCATTGCATGGGCCTTTGGGGCTTCTTAGTGATTGGGACAAATCCTATCATTAGGCAGAATGAGGTGACTGCCTCAGGTGGAAGCCGCTGGGGAGCAGTGGTGGAAGCCTGCTGGCTGACCCTTCTGTTTTAAGGCAGAACTATGTGTATCACATGGCCTGTTCTGCACACCCATAACTAGCCTGCTGACCTCAGTCATAATCGAGGACATGGCCCCATTATGAGAATCGAAATAAGATTCAACTGCTAGCCCAGTTAGCTTCTGAACATGGAATGGTGGGACACACCATCTTGTCCTTTACCACAGGCAGAAAAATGGTTTGGACCAGTACTGTGAGGTTGAATATAAAAGACCAGATGGAGAGATTTAAGAATTAAAACACAGCAGGGCTGAACTCTGTGTTGTATGAAGGTGCAACATCCAACATTAGCAACTGAAATAATAAAGGGGGGCTTGGTTACCTATATTGTGCTCCCTTACCCCTGCTGAAACAATACTGTAATGTTTCACTGCACTGATGTGTAACTGTTTTCGTTAGAAAGATCTACATGGCAGAAGAGGAATAAGATTGTCAAAGAATTTAGTCATTTTTTGTTCACAGCTAAAAGAGAACAGGAACAGCTCCCCCACTCCATTCCATGCTCCTGACCACCACATAAAATTAGAAAAGATTTTGTCAGATTTCTAGTAATCTCCACCCTGCTGGACAACGTTCCTATGTCCATCTCAGGCCTGTCATCGGCTTGTCTTAGCAGCATTCCTTAGCAGGTGGCAGCTATTTCAGCTCTGGGGAAGGGAGAGGGGTAGGGAGGGAATACTGTCTATTTTCTGGTGCTGACAAAAAAAACTTTTATGCCAGCAATGGATCTCGAGCAGCAACTGCCATTATGGTGGCCAGAACAGCTGCTCCTGAGTAATGCTGAAGAAGCTTTCATCCTAACTTGAAGTGGACGAAGGCTGCAGCAAACATAAACCAATAATGTAGGATTAAATGGCCCTGACCTACAACCTGGTATGCTGTGTGAGCCAGAAATAAAACTGTTTACATAGCAACCAACATAATAGCAACAGCTAGGTAGGTGAGGCAAATCTTTCCTTTCCCCCACAATTACTCCAGTTTGTTTCTTAAAGGCTAGCTTGTTTACATTTGGTTTGGGTAGGGCTGTGTGTACTTTGCATATTTTTTTAAAAAAGACTCCTTGTGGGAAAGTTGGGGCTAAACAGACATTTTCACCTTCTTAGACCTCGTGTCCCCAAGACAGTTCCCCAGGCCACTTCAAAACATCTCTGGTCTAGTTCAGACCAGTCATCAACAGACTAAGAGAGAGCTCATGGCTCAAACCCATTGAGACCTAATAAAAAAGTATTCACCTTCTCTTTGGGGCATGACTCAATTAAGATCTTGCAAGACACCGAGAACACTGGCTTGTGAAGAGCCAGTTAGAAACATCTACATGATCATAGCTTAAGTTCTGGGCCCATGGACCAATGAGCGCTGGGTAAGGCATGAACAATGTCATACACCTGAACTGCATCACCACATCAGCATCCTGTATCTTAATAGTGAACTCATTCTCTGAAGGCCTGTATTTATATAGCCAAAATGGCATCATCCGTGCACAGGAAGGGGGTGTCAGCAGGGTTGTTTGCATAGGTCCAGTAACTTTAAAGAGGGGGGAAATGTAAGTGAGGGAATCTGGACAAGCCCATTGAATTCTAAACATGTTCAGTGGCCAGAGAATGCTGAGTGTATCTTCTGGGAGTGGGAATGAAATGGGAGTATCATAGAAGATGATGTGGCTGGCATTCTTTATATTGCTACATTTTGCTGCATGCCCCACTTTCTACTTATTAACACAGCATAATCTACAACATGCACCATGTGTAATTTTATAAATTGGGAGTCTGGCACTATGAAATAGCAGATGGAAAATCCTCACACCTCTCAAAATTCTGTGCCAAGAAAAGCTGAGGATATGATGGTGAATTGGAATATAGATGTTTGTTCTGCATAAAATTGCAAGGGATCCAAAGGGTAATCCAGCCCATCTCCCTGCAATTCAGGAATCTCAACTAGATCATACATGACAGGGCTGTCCAACCTATGCTTTAAAACTTTCAAGGAAGGGGAGTCCATTGGCTCTCATGGGAGTGCATTCCACTATTGAACAGCTTGTACTGTCAGAAAGTTCTCCCTGCTGTTTAGTCGGAATTTCCTTTCTTAGAACTTGAATCCATTGGTTCGAGTCCTACCCTCTGAAGCAGGAGAAAATAAGCTTGCTGCATCCTCAGTGTGACAGCCCTTTAGATATTTGAAGATGCCTATCATATCTTCTCTAAATCTCCTATGGGTCAAACTTACCCAGTTCCCTCAACCATTCCTCATAAGGCTTGGTTTCCAGACCCATGATCATCTTGGTCACCCCCCGCACACATTCTAGCTTGTCACTATCCTCCCTAAATTGTGGCACCCAGAGCTGGACAGTATTCTAGCTATGCTCTGCCCCAGGCAGAATATAGCAGTACTATTCACTTGATCTGGACACTATACTTGTGTTGTTGCTGCACGCTAGGATAGCATTAGCTTTTTTTGTTGCTGTATCACACTGTTGACTCAGTTTCTACTGAACATACTGATGAACAATGAGAGCCTACAAAACAAATTGATTCCCCCGTCCCCCACCCCTCTTGACTGGAAATCCTATTTAGCACAATTTTTGGATTCCGAGATTTCACCAGATACTGCTAACAATGTAACAAGACTCTTAAAAGCCACAAGGATCTTTTATGGCTCTGATATAAAAACAATCACAATCAAACTCCCAGGGTTCTGGATTCTGCATCCAATTCCATCAAACCTTAATCTAAAACCACCGGTCATTCCAAGGGCACTTAAAAACAAGTTCTCATGTGAACTTCCTTAGGGAGAGCATTACGCAGCCACCACCAAAAAGATTGGTTTGAAGATCTGTTTCTTTAATAGTGAAATTGCTTTAAGAGCTCATGGAGCCTTACACAAGCTTAATGTCCCCGTTTCAAGCCAACAACTGGATCTGATTATCTGGACTATTCTGCTGCTCAGTGCTTTGCCCAGTTAACCATTAAGCAGGGCACAGATTTTACCTTTAAGTAGTAGTCACAGAATAAAGAAATTGAGAAACACAGAGATTCATTAGTTGATTAGGGAATTAATCTCAAACAATTCAAATACAGCATGACAACCACCTCATCCACTTCACAGCTAACAGCTAGCATCTGAACTGATATTCATACAACAAAAATATGCAACCTTCTGGTTTTAATTCAAATTTTAAAAATTTACCTTAAACAACCAGGTTGTAATAACAATAATAAAAAACCACTTTGATTCTAAGACTCCACTTGTCAAAAATTCTGTTCTGACATACAGAACAAAAATGTTAAAGAACTTTTGGGGAAATATAACCAGTTTAGCGGCCGTGGTAGGTACAGTTAGTACTGTTAGATCAGAATTTAGCCAGCCCTCCTTAGTAAATATGTGACTTGGGAGTTTTGTTCTCTGGCAAATGTGAATCAAAGGCTATTTTTTCAAAGCTGATGTTCTTGTAACTTTCTGTCCCATGGAGCTGTGTCAGCAGGTCATGCTTGAACCCAGCTCTACCCTTTGGTTGCTAGAAACAGAGTAGGGAAATGGAAACATTTGTGAATAAGCATATCATCACAGGGAGAAAAGTATGGACACACACACCCAATCCATTGGTATTGTGCTATTTCACCAATTGGTCTCATCTGTCTCACACCGAGAGGAATGAAGGACTTGGAGCCACGCACTGCTTGCATTGGAATGACCCCAGTCACATTAAATTGGATCTCCATGGCAGCTTAACTCTCTACAATTGTCACTGCCAAAAACATGAAACACCACCAGCTGGCTGAGCGATGAATACTGCCACTATTCAATCCTTCCTTTCTCTGACGCTTCTAAAGCAAATAGGACTCTGTCTTTTTTATGTCTTATACACAATAAAACCAAGAAATCAGGTTTAATCTTAATCATTTTGACACCCAAGGTGTCATCTGAAATAAAGCTCAGCTGCTACCTAGCATGCATGTAATTCCGATTCTATAGGACACTAAACACATGTGATCATATGAAAAGCAATGACATAATATTCTGCCTTCACTTCTACACCCCTAGGGATGAAATTAAAGAAACACACACTGGAACTGGCCCCAGACACAGATGTTTCTCATCCATAAAACACCTAACCTGGGCCTATTAAATTTATACAGGATTTATCATAATCTAGACAATAAAGTGGCTTAAAAATGCATTTATAAGTAGCATATAATTAAAAAGTACAAGCTCGGCTGGACCTGAAAGGCGTTGGCATACATATGCCCTTTCTTAATAAACTGGCATAAAGAATATGGGTGTTTTCTTCAGTGCATGCACTAAATTAGCAAATTCAATTTGAGCATGCCTTTTTGCAGAAATATACAAGAAAAACCACCCTTTCCAGATCTGACTCAGCTCTTTCATCTCTCCCTCATGCAGAATGTTCCAGTGTGCACACTCTCTGATAAAAATATTGACTCTCTGAAGATACTGCAAATACTACATCAGAAGAAAGTTAAAGGGAAAATAGATTACTTTTCCTTCTTTCTCCTTTTGCAAAATTAACTGCCTCTGGTAGTCATGGGGCAGCAATACAAAGTATTGAACAGCTATGCCTTGAGCCCTGAAAATCTTATCTCGCATCCTCTGACTCCAGAAAATCTCACCAGGCAGTACTAACCTTTAAAAAAATAAAAAAATAAAAATCTAGCTTCACAATTTACAGGAATTAAATGCATGTTCTCAGTTAAAGAAATTCTCAGAATATAAAGTCCTTCTGCCTGTTCAAAATTCCAGGTTTCTTTCTGAGCTCATGCCAAAATCCACATAGACATCCTCTTATTGCTGAATCTTGTATAAAACATGGTTGAGAGATATTGGGCCTCATGAATCTCAACCTGTTTAACTGAAGTGACCTGACTCGGTAATAGGTCACATACTCTGCATACAGAGATTTTCAGACTCAATTCCAGACATCTCCAAGTAGGGTCAGGAGTCTCCTCTGACACTGGAGAACTGGCGGCAGTCACTGTATTGTAGGCGGTAATTCACTAGATGTACCTCTGGTCTGACTCACTGCAAGGCATCTTCCTTCTTTCCTGTGTGCTGTTAAACTCTCTGTCAAGTATGTCCCACAGAGAAACTTACGGTCTTCAAATAAAAACTTCTTGAAGGTCCCAGGCCACAGAGAGGTTAGGCTGGCCTCAACTAGAGCCAGGGCTTTTTCGGCTGTGGCTCTGATCTGGTGGAACACTCTGTCACAAGAGACTAGGACTTGACATCTTTCCGCAGGGCCTACAAGACAGAGTTGTTCCACCAGGCCTTTGGCCAGGGCACAGCCTGACTCCCTCCTTCGGCAATCTTCGCAGAGCTCTGGCCCAATGGTTGCCATTGGTTTGCTTTGAATTAATTTTATAATGAATGATTTTAGAGTGTTGTGTTGTACTGTAGTACTGTTTTATTGTTGTTAGCCGCCCTGAGCCCGGCTTCGGCTGGGGAGGGCGGGATATAAATAAAATTTATTTATTATTATTATTATTAAGGCACCTTGGGGATTCTGGTTCTGTAAATGAGCTAAACATTTTTAAAAGGGAATTCTTGGGACCGTTGCAGAACTGCAGTTCCCAGGTTCCTTAGGGGCTAACGGAATATCATACGGAATCACACATCACTAAACCCCCAACACTTTAAGCAAGCGTTCTACTGCTTTGCAGCAGCAGGAGTGGGTGCCTAACTAACTGATGCCTCGCTACATCAAACTACTCCCACCCCTCCAGCATTCCAATGAGTGTTTGCAAGGGCAAACACATGTTTGGGAAGCCTTCTAGGGTGGGGAAGCAGTTTGAGGAGGCAGAGGCATTGATGGAGGGGCAGAGCTGAGCCTTCTGTCTTTTACATTGGGCCCTAAATCTCCTGCCCCTTCCCTTCTCTTTTTTTAAAGTTAAAAACACCAACAACAATAATTTGCTTACAGGGTGGCTGGGCGCTCTGCAAAGTACAGTGCTGGTGAGATCCCAGCCACACATTATTTTAGAATTGCCCAAAGGCATTTATAAATATAAATTAGCATATATACAGTTGCTGTACCTTGGCCCCATAGCCCTATGCCCTGAGTCCTTTAAATACCTAGCAACACCCAAGTGCGGGTGCCAATTCAGAGTGATGGAGCAGAACGCAGGGGAAGAGTTAAGCATACAATCCTTTTGCTGCTGCTGCTTTTCCAGCGTCTGGATTTTGGGAAGTCGGCATCTGTGGGGCAGATGTTTGTTACAGCTGCCGCTTAGACTCAATTGTGGAGAAAGCCAGTTTTAAATTTTTCTCTAACTCTCAGAATTCCCTTTGCTGATGGATGTTTCTAAAAGAACACATTGACTGTTACAGCTCTCCTTAAGGTTTTCATTTTTTAAAAAAGAAAGCAAAATAAATAAAACGAAGGCACAGTGTCATTGCTTCCTTGTTCACCTCCTAGTTACTCAGCAACCAACGATTCAAACGCAACTCTAAAGTTCTTAGGTGTGGAAGGCCACAAGGCTCTTGCCAACAGAATAATCGAGGCCTGAGATGAGCCCACTTTTCTTGACACACTGAGGGCTGTTATGTCCCAGATGGGAGTTGACTCAGCTGGGAAATGCCTTCAGCTGAGCGCATGCTGTGCCTGCTTCCTCAGTCGAGCTGGTTGCTATTGCTAGCATAGCTGTAACTACACCAGAGCTCAAGTGTACACTTATTTATAACACTGACAGAGAGAAGAACTTTCTTGAGGATGTGATGACACCTCATTATAGATAATGTGCCAGCTAAATGGCTTAGCACTTGACCCTCTTCCCCCCCCCCAAAAAATATTTTGACTGAAGAGATCCTAAGCACTTGAGACTTCTTTGACCAGCTGAGGCCTCCCCCACACTTACAATGTGGCAATTAGTCTTGGGAGAAACATCCCATTTGAAGAAAAAGGACCTTTCTCCCCTAAGATTGATCATTGAGGCCGGCATTGAAGTTGAGAAGGTGAGGCTATGGGTTGGATCCAAATGCATCCCACAGGGCCAAAGCTTACCCACCCATGAGCTAGATAAACAATTATTTAAGGAGCTACTAAATCTGACCACTCGTCCATGTAATCCAGAACAGTC